TCCTTATTTACCCTTATATATAACACAAGTTTTTTTTTTCTTTTCTAACAATCCTTACGTGGTTTTTTCATTGGCGCACCCGTTTTTTTTTTTTTTTTTTTTTGGGGGGGCGTTATTTTTGGGCTGTTTTTTTTAGTAAAATTGAGAGGATAGCTGTTTGTGGGGGGGGGGGGGGGGGGGTGTTGTACAGCGGCTGAAAATGGACATCCGCCATGATGAGGAAACAGACGTTTTCCAGGGAGCCTGGTGACAAGCTATTTCGACTCCCGGAAGCACTTCCGCTATCGTCGTTTGTCGATTTGCAAATTTGACACGATATTATCAGAACAGCATCTACTTGCAAGAGTAATAATTTTGGGGAATTACAAAGAGAAGTGTGATTCCTGAAAAGATCCGCTGTCGCAAGGCATGGGAAGCAGCCGTGAATCTTATAATTATAGACGGCGATCGAGAGATGGAAGGGAAGGGTAAGCCAATATAAGCTGATATACAGTGAATTTCAGGATCCACATACACGTTTAAAATATGACGCCTTTAACAGTTGAGTGTTCTTTGTTCTTTAATTTACGGAATCCCGTCTTCGATGGACCAAAATCGAATTGACCCATTTCGAAATTTGTTTAATCTTTATATTTTTTTAATACAAGATATGGTCTAAACAGTCAGTCAGTGAGTCAGTCGCTATCACACTTTCAACAACGCTATCGTACATGCATATGTTAGACGATGTAAACAAAGTAATTATTTTTCTAAGTGTCTTTTAAAGGCACCTCATAGCCGTGAAACTTACGACTAGAAAAAGCGAGAAACAATTTCTAGGTCAAACCCCTTCTTTACGGTTTTAAACGTAACAGAACACTCTTGACTATTCAGTCATGCAATTGGTTGAACTTTGTCAAGACACAAGTCTGAACTGAAGTCCTGTCCATTACTGACCGTTTGATCGTTTGTGACCTAATCGCTCTTTAAAAGTTTTAATGTTTCCAGATGGTGCTGCTGTTGTGATATAAGGTATCCTATAGCTGGACATCTTATACAGAGCTAAACACTGCCCATGTATGCATATCAAACAACGACGTGCAGAATTATAATTTGAGACCGATTGACACTTGGAGAAATTCTGTTTTTGAATCTAGAAATTTGCCAAAGGATGTGTGGTTTGACTAGTAGCGTCCTGCAACCTAGCAATAGACCATTTTCGATATTTCAAAATTCATACTTTGCTCCGATGCGCGGGGAAGTGTTGTTGTTTCATTCATCCCAGAGCTTTAGCTGAGTAGTGAATTGTAGTTCGAACCGGAATATGGTCTTAGATGGCGCTGCATTTGGCATTGTTCAGATATCTATCGATCAGTTGCATGCACGGTCTTTCGATCCAGTAATCTCTATAAAAGATTCCGTTGTAGTTGGTCTTAGCAAGCAGAAGTTCTAAAACAATGTGAGCTACAAACTTTTCTTCAAGGGACTCACTGAGAAAAACGCTTTCTAGGTGAGGAGTCGTCTGTTTGTATTAAGTCTTACAACCTGACTTCAGGGAGGGCAGATTTGATTGAGATAGTGGGATTGACGATTTACGGATTATTCTATCCTTTACAGAACGGCTTACAATCGCCTCCAGCACAATGAAGCGGCTACAGAGACAGAATTTGTGGAAGTGCGGAAAGATCTGAAAGGTTACATCATCGGAAAAGATGGATGTTCGATTAAACAGATCATGAAGTCTTCAGGCGCACTGATCACATCGCCGCGAAGAAATGACGGAGGATTTTTTGTCCGGGGGGATGCTGGACAAAGAAAATGTGCTAAGAGGCTCATATTAGAGAAAGCAGTAAGTGCGGTGTGTAATAATAACATAAGGGAGCATTTATAATTTACCTAGAGGGTGGAATATGATGATTTTGAGGGGGGGTCACTCTTTTTCCCTACTATGATTTGGCGGGGGGGGCTGTGGAAAATTTCCAACGAAGATTACGTCGAGCATAGTGGGGGGGGGGGCAACATTTTTTCCTGAAAAAGAAAAGTATGCTATATAGCGTCCTGTAAACAGTATAGTGTCTAACGTCAATTTTCTCCTAACGATATCCATACAATGTCAATAGATTAGATTATGAGAATTAATAAAGTGATCACCTAAGGGAAAATGCCATGATCTTTTATCAAATTCTCTCAACTTATTCTTGAAGGAAATGTATAGCGATCAGTTTGGAGAATTTGTGTGTGGATCTTGGTTAAAAACACTCCACTAACAACTGGCCATGATCTGCAAGTTGTTACTGATCTACTATGTTAATTACTAATAAAGCTCAATATACCTGTCACAAGACTTTGATATGGCTAAGGGTAAGTTTGACATGTTGTACTTATGTGCTGGGGGAGGGGGGGAGGCTATGATATTTTCCTTTGATAAATCAACATCTCTTGAGGGGGGGGGGTCAGCAAAAAAAACCCTGAGATGATCAGGGGCGGGCTTCAAAAAAATGAAAGGAAAAAATAAGGAAATCATCATAGCCCACCCTCTAGATAAATTATGAATGCTCCCTAATAACAAATATTATGGATTTAGGGTGATTCAGTGTTTGTTGTTTGTATAAGGCTTTGCTTGCATGAACCGTTAGTCTTTCCATTGTGCTCATAATAAGCCATGAAATAAATTAAACATTTCTCCTGTCATTTGGAGACACAAAATAAATACAGTTAAAATGTTTTTAATACTAGATTTATAATAGGTGCACGCGAATTAACAAATTTACTTACTTCCGGGGTGAGGACTTCAAATAATTTCCCTTGCTCTTTCCTCTACAGAACGAATTACAGGTCAAGAAATCTGAGATAGCTCCGACTTTTGAATTGGTCGAAATTCCAAGTGAATGCAAAGGCTTTGTGATAGGTAGAGGAGGAGAGAACCTTAGACATATCAGCAGTAAAACAGGAGCAGATTTGATACGTAAAGATGGTAATGTGTACTTGGCCAGCGGAACAGAAGAACAAAGGCAACATGCTAAAAAATGTATCATAGAAATAGTGGTGAGTCATCTGCTCAAATTGTCTTCTACGGCAATTATCAGGCCCTGATTACATGAGACCGGTGAGAACACATACCAGTAAGACGTGAGATCATTGAATCTCAGTGCTAATGCCTGCTTCTACTAACTGAAGATATGGGTTCTGAGATTATTTGCCAGAGTGGTGTTATGTACAAAGGCCCATCTAAAGGCCCGAACAGCCTTAACAAAAAATTTATATATATGTATATATATGTTTCATTAAAATAATTAACTTTGGCCACAAAAATCATCCATCTGCGCATACGGTCAATACGTAAGTACAATTGTTGCTAGGTTTAGCCTTCAAAAAGACTGTCTGTATACAACTAGTTATTTATAGTCTTTGTTGACAGCAGGTAAAACAAGGCTAATAAAAAGTTCACTGTCTTGTTTTCTGGCATAAACGCAGAGGAGGAAATCAGAAGAAAACGCTCCACCTGGTGAATTTGTGGACATTCCAAGCGCATTCAAGGGATTAGTCATAGGTAAAGGAGGAGACAATCTCAGCTTTATCAGCACTAAGACAGGAACAAAACTGATTCGCAAAGATGGTGAGGTGTACATAGTAAGTGGCACCGACGAACAGAAGGAACAGGCCAGACTGCACATTAAAGTAGCTACAGTAAGTATACTGAAATAGCTTAATTTCCTGTTATTATATGCGTGCAAACTAGTCTTAGCTGTTTCTCTTCACAACAAGATAGCTTTTTTGTTTGGCAGGGCCGTAGCCAGGAAGAAACTACAACCGAGGCGAACACACGGTCCGTTGTACGAAATCAGCCGTATGAAATCTTCTAATATTATCAGTCTGATAAAAAAAATAAAAATCGACAGTATTTGGTAAACTTTTGCCGAGGCGAGTGCCTCGGTTCGCCTCATACTGGCTACGGCCCTGTTTGGGGTCTTAATCAGTCCTAACTTTTTGCCTAATTTTTTGTAGGCTTTTGCAAGGATTAGGGGTGTAGAAAATGAATACACGAAATTTAGCTGCTACATCGATGAGTATAATCTTCCGACCCCTAAACTAAAATTTGATGAAGTGTTGTCGAATGCTCCTCCTGGCGCACACCCAACACAGTACCGATTGAAACCAGCCGATCAATTTAAACCACAGGTACGTCTTTTGTTTACGCCATTCTCTCTGACTCGTGGTGGTACATTGTTCCTTTAACAGGCAGTCGATCGATTATTTCAGCTGATTGACTTTACCGCAGGATGTCCAGGCTGTATGAGCGGGTCAGACCAAGGTTTAAGTGCTGGCTGATTTTCCTAAACAGCGAACAGCTGCCTGTAATCGAGCCTTTTGGGAGGATTGGTTCTTTCGTGGTTGGCAACCTCCCGCGTGCAACTATAACACAATAGTACACGCTGAGTCGTCTACAA